CCAGGGGTGGGTGGAGGGGAGCTTGGAGGAAGGTGATCAAAAGATAAAATTTCGGTTATGAGATAAATAAGTACTAGGGATGTATAACATGATAACTAGTTAGCACTGCAGTATAATATTTAGGAAAGTTAAGAGAGTAAGTTCCTCACAGTTCTTAGTACAAGGAGAATTATTTTTCTTTTTATTGTATCTATATGAGATGATGAATGTTAACCAAATTGTGGTAAACATTTCACAACATATGTAAATCAAACCATAACGCTGTATACCTTAAATCTGTACAATGATGTATGTCAATTATTTCTCAATAAAACTAGAAAAATAAGAAAACTGTTGTGGTCTCATAATTCAGTTTGGGAAAATAATTATATAGCACTTACAATTCATTCATTCCTCTTTTCTCAATGCCACATTTATTACAGACTATTAAATACAGAGCGGGGTAAAAGTAGATTTAGTTGTAAGTACATTGGGCAGAATTTTTTCTTGTATTATTACTTGTTAATTATTGTATTATTTTCCATAAGAACTGTAAATCTACTTTTGCTCCACCCTATGTAATCTATTTTTATACTAATCCAGGTCAATTGGTTCAGTAGCCTTCCAATCTGGTCACTATTTCCTGTTTCATACTTGCTGAAAGATTGCTGGAAGACTGAAGAATACAATAGAATATCTCAGTCATTCCGAGATTTAGGAGCAACAGCACCTACACACACCCTTCATTCAATTAAATGTAAACAGCATAAGAATGAAGTGTAATTTTAAGTTCCTCATCAACCATCTCCATCTGTTATACTGTTTGAGGTCAGTAATCTTTTAAATCAGTTATACCTGATCATAAAATATTTTAAAGCTAAATTTCCAATCTATTACCTATGGAAGAAATGAATTTATCTTTTGAAATAATAAGTAAGGGCAGGGTAAACTGGGCAGGGAATTGCCATATGCATTTTAGCTGAAGAAAGTAAGAAGAGTTATGCAGCTATCCCAAGGTGGTGATAGCCTGAAAGCAGTACAGATAGAACCTTAATTCAAGTTTTCTAGCACCTTTCAGAGAGGTGGGGATCTCCTAACATAACCACGTTCACAAACATTAAACATTAATTTTGACACCACAATAGATGGCCTTTGGTCTGGTGGGGTTTCCCTGGCTCACTGAAGAAGGGAACAGGAAGAAAGCCAACAAGTAGCTCTGTTCTTGTGCAATCATCCATGACACCCTATCTGCAGTTTCCCACATTTGGAGCAGCCTCTAGAACCAAAGGACGGTAAAACAATGTTGGTTTAGTATTTGGCTCCTTGCATGAGGAACCCCTTGGAGAATTCAAAATATGGGAACTGATTTATGATATAAACTTAGGGGCACCGTTTGCATTCATGCCTCTACCTCTCCTCCAGCTGCTCTCTCCCCCCAACAGTGGACTGAAGTTGGTAAGACTGTGTGCAAGGCCACAGCTGCTCCTTTGCCTGTTTAAGGGCATTATGACATGGTGACTATGGGCATAGGCTTTGGAGGCAACTGGACCTGTTCTATCCTGGCTCTGATAACAACTAACTGGTAGGACTTTTAACTTCTCTGAATCCTGGTATTCTCATCAGTAATAAGGTGCCTTAAAGTAGTCCCAAAGCACAGAGATCACGTATGTAATGCCTGATACCTGGTAAATATGCAACAAATGTTATGTTTGGGGGCTTTTAGGGAATACCTGCTCACTCTCAATTCTCATTTCAGAGTTGCTGCTGAGCATACCTTGTATTGCTCATTAAGCTCCATCCTCTAGGACTTTCTGAGTTAATATACCATGATCAAAGCTTCTGGAAGACCAGGTTATTGGGGGGGGGGCGGGGGTTGGTCTAATTTTCTTTGTATCAGTATCTTTTCTTGATGCCAGGATCTATTATTTTAAAGAAATAAACCATAGTCTCATATTCCCCTTTCCAAATTCATTATCAATGAAAAAAGTAAGAATCATGCTATAGAAATGGTAATATTTAACAAATACATTTTCTCAGTATACATTCAAAAAAGTCACTTGAGAATGTTTCTTGACTATATTAAAAACTCAAATTACTTTCTGAAGTATGTTCTAAGAACCAGATAAAAATACATACTGCAGCAGATTTTTTAAAATTAGGTACATTTATGACCATTATTTGTAAATCTTGTGACACTTTGTAAAACTTGGAAAGGTGACCAGTTAACCCCGTCCTGGATGGTAAGCTCTGTGAGGGCAGGAGTGTCTGCCTTATTCACTGCTCCATCTCCAGCATCAAGTCCAATGCCTGGCACATACGAGGCATTCAGTGAACATTTATTGACTGATTCTTTATAGAAAATACTTTTATGTAGGATTCATGGAAATGTCCTCCAAAGAAGAGCAAGTAAAACTGATTCAGTGAACTTGTATTCTGAACTAAAAGAAAAATCAAAATTATTGGGTATAATGTAAGACCCTTTGGAAAGAAAGTAATAGATCATCCTAGAATTCATGTAAGCCAGAAAGAGAAAGGCTGGGCGTAGTCTGAAATACACCCAGTTGTAGAAAAACAAAATATAAAAATTACCCCCCCAAACACATGATTTCACAGGGGACTCGAGAGGCAGCTCTCAAGACTGCAGTGCTGGCTGTGCCACCAGAGACAGGAGCAGGGAGCCTTGCAGAGGCCAGTGTACACTTGACTGTGTGCCAACAGCCTACTTAAACGATGGGAGATTACAAAACCAAAGAGAATCCTAAAATGAATACATTTGTGAGAAGAAAGCCGCAAATGGGTTTAAGATTACATAAGTGCTAGTATAAACACAGCTTTCACAGACATTTTCAGTTAAGACCAAAGGCGATCTAGTCTCCAGCTTGGGGCTGATGACCATAAAACTGACTTGTCAAAATCAAGAGAACTCCAGTCTGACTCTGCTTCTCTACTGAGAACGCTCTTTCAGGAGGAAACATTTAGGATGCACCTAAAAGGCAGTGGATGCTGGGCTAAATATTTTGTACTGGTTATCATATTTAATCTTCACAGCAGACCATGAGCCAGAACTACTAATTACTATTTTAGAAATGATAAAACTAAGGTTCAGGGCAGTAAAGACCGTGCCTAAATTTATACATTAACTGATAACCAGAACCAGGATCCAGTTCAAGTTGGACTATATGTCTTTCCACTAAACCACACTTCCCCCTAGTTATACTGAAAATATTTACATGAATACTGGCAATTGGGAATACCTCTTCAAGAGACCATGAAATCACACAACTGCCGAAATGTTACAATCCATCTAAATTACATCTAGAGCACTTAGATCAGTATGGTGACCTTTAAGGAATCATGGATAATAGATGATGGGAGAATACCACCTTCATTTCTAAAAATATGCTTAATACAAGACTGAGTACACTCTGTGAGGTGGAGCCAAATCTCTTCTGCCTTTTTATCTCTGGGATCCAGCCTAGGGCCTCAATACATGATGGATAAATGAAGCAAGGTATCTCTACATCTGAACTGTTGTCAAGCAGATGCATGTTTAAGTTTCTTCTGAATAGTGCCAAAGGGCAGGAAGTACCCAGTTACAAGGGGGTATACAAAAATGGTCACAAAATTAAAAGACCAAGAAGCTGTTAGGTCTGTGTCAAGGTGGGTGTGGAGCATTAGGGAGGTAGGGAGTTCCCTATGACTGAAAGTGCTTGTTGATTTCAGTCATTAGGAGGCTTCAGAATAAATGTAAGTCCTCAGCTCTCACTGTGATGGTTGTCAATGGTTACCTTGCCTCCCTCTGATGTTTTCATTGTCTCTCATACATTTGTGAGGTGTGGGAGCATGGTGAGCTTGGGTAATGAAGAAACTAAAGGTAAATGGCAGAGGGAAGGGAGAGTTCTCCATTGTCTTCCCTGGAAACCTCAGCACCTTAAATCCCACAACTCAGAACTCAAGATTAAAGCCCTTACATTAATTCTGCTACACCTACACAGGCTTTTATAATTGATCTAGAAACTAATCACCAACAGCATTACTCAGGAAAATGTATCTAGGTTCCCAATGACTGAGGTAGACAACCTTTTACAACATAACACATTAAATGGAAACTACACATAAATTTACATCATTCTCCTTCACCTCAATCTTTCCTATCAACAAAATAGGAGGAATTTATTAGTAGAACATTCGCTTGATGGCAAGTTCTGTAATTACTAACAATTTTAAATTTGTGATCAAGTTAATTAGCAGGTAAATGACCTAAAGTTTAGACGTCCTAAAATTCTCTTCCACAATCACTGCCAATACAATGCAAGTTGGCATAAAAGGTAACATCAAGTTGTAGGTAGATACTCTTGTTCAAAATAAAAAAGTATGTGACTTTTTTAAATAACGAAGAGATAGTAACACTGACATTTACAATTTCCTTACCCTAACATGACAAATTCAGTGTAAGGACATTTCAGAATTAACCCCATGACTGGAGTTATCCTTGAACTGCCTAAAATGATGGTTTCACAATGCAGGGAACTATAAAGGCCAGCTGGGTGAGAGAGGCAGTCTCAACGATCCTTTGCAGCCACCAAGAAGATAACAAGGGGGGAGAAAACGGGAGGGAGAGGGGGAGGCCTGGGCTGGGGGTAAAAGGCAGAAAATTGTACTAAAACAACAATTAAAAAAAAAGAAGATAAGCACCCTAACACACATATGAACCCAGTACCAGTGGTAGAAATTATAATATAAATATATCTCATGCAAAAATAGGACAAATAATATTTACATAATACAAATAAAGGACTAAAATTTAAGCTTTCTTTTTGGGGGTACCACTGTGACTATGTGGTTTCAATAAGGGTTAATGCCACGTTAACTTGAAACTCTGAAAAACCATAAAGATAGCATAGAAAATGCACGTTGGTAGAAACTTGGATGTGTGAAAGGTTGTTATGAAAAAATGGAAACAGGAATGATAGAATTATATTTTCTCATACATACTAAAATGAAGACCCAAAAACAGTTTGTTAAAGTAGCTATCAACAAGATGTTAAATTATTTTTCTTCTGCTTTGGTTAAAACAGCCTAGGAATATCGATCACTTCCCCTTCTACTAATAGCATATAAACAGTGACAAGACTACTTCTAGGATGGAAAAACAACTTTCTTCAAAAGAAATTAATTTTAAACTAAACATTTTACCAATAAATAAGTTTCTTAAAAGGCAGTATCTTCATCCAACAAGCTTGGCATAACCCATATATTGACTTAAAAAGTAAAATTTCTCCCAAATAGTAATTGCAGGTGTTAATGCAACAAACTGTGAAATGAAATTATTTTAATGTATCTTTAAAAAAACTATCAACCAAAAATAAATTTTAAGTCAACATTTTTCTAAAATTGTACATTCCAAAATAATTGACTAATGCTTTATTATAGAACATAATTCAAACTATTGTTGATATTTCAATATATTCCAAAAGAAATTGTTTAAAAATTTTTTCATACACCAAAATTGGAACATCATTTATAATTCTGTTACAGCTATGAAAAGGCAATCAACTCTACTTAAAACTGTAACCAGTGATGAAATATACTTCAAAAACATAAACATTTGGTCTGACAATCTTTAATATTGGTTAACAACAGACTGATGCTTCTTGCTGATGGAAGTTATTTTAATTCAATGTGCAAAAAAATGTGCAGCTGTCTACTTTTCCTTGAAATACCTAAGACCAACACTTCTATACTATTTACACACTTAAAAGATTTCAAATGTATTAATTTAAGCAATGATATTGCATCTCCTTTACGGATAAATCATATGCTACAGAGAGCACAAAAGCTTGATAACATTGTTAAGTTACACGAAGGTATCTGAAGAGGCATACCTGCTCTTGTCCTAATTTCAAAATCAATTAAGAATTATTTTGATCTAGGAAGTCTTGGAATTATTGCAAATGTGAAAACCTTGTCTGTGAGAGCCAGGTTCCTATCTACCCTTTTCTAAACCTTTCGCCTCTGGTCCACTCTACAAAGCCCACCCATTCAGAGTGGCAATGCCCCAAATAAGAGGAATGAAGGAACTCAGCCCCCAGATCACCAACATCTCTGTGGATTTGCTTAGCCTTCTGGTCTTGTTACCACATTTTTGGGGTAAGTATGGGCAATCAACCAAAATGGATGAAGAGACACTTCAGCAAAGCAACCATTATTTGTCCACAAAAACTGTAAAAAACAGTGATAGAAAATTAACAAATCAAATATAAATTGAAGAGCATTCCACATTTCCAGGCCTTGTTTTCATATTTGTGCAGTGTTCTTGGTCAACCACCAGTATTTTCTGTGTCTACATTAAGCACTTTTATTAAATTATTTAAAATGCTGTTTTGACCCTAAGTCACATATAATTGGGATTGGGAAATCAATTTACTCAATTATCACTCTGTGCAGCGTGTTCACCAGTGCAGCAGTGTAGGGAGGAATTAAAAAATGGAATAGAAGTCTCTCACTTCTGAACTGGACACAGGAATCCTCAAACTAAAACCATAAAAGAGAAAGGGTGGGACTTACTGGCAACATTAATACTACACACCAGACAGGACAGTGAAACTGTTTGGTCAGAACCAATCAACATCATTTCCTTGAAAAGTTTTAAAAACACCTAACCAGGCACTGCCTTAAGTCCAGTGAGTACAATGCTCCATAAGTTAAAAAAAAAAATACAGTGACCAATGTTCATTTGTTATGAACAATGCAACCTCAGTCTCCATGGGTCAGGCAAAGTGTTCATGTCCCACCACCTCTAGCTACAGGCTATTGTTTCCAACTGCTGCTCCGCTTCGGCAGCCATCGCTGCCGCCTGCAACTGTTCTGTCTCGCTCTGAATGGCACTGGGGGTAACCTGCTTCCTTTCACTGTGCATATTGTTCTCGTGCCTTTTCAGATCAGATGCCTTGGCAAACGCTTTGGTGCATGAGCCACACACAAAAGGTTTTTCCCCTCTGTGTCTTCGTTCATGATCTTTGAGGTGGGACTTGTGTTTAAAGGCTTTGTCACACATGTGACACGCAAACGGTCTTTCATTACTGTGAACCCTCTCGTGCTTCTTTAGGTCTGGGGCACGAATAAATGATTTTCCACACACCTCACAACTGTAGGGCTTATATCCCGTGTGGATTTTTAGGTGTTCTTTTAGGTGGGCCTGAGTGGTAAAACCTTTTGTACACATTTCACAAACAAAAGGCCTGTCTGCTGTGTGGAGTTTTTCATGTTTCCTCAATCTGCCTTCGTCAGAAAAGGTTTTACCACATGCCTGACAGGCGATCTGCTCCCGATGATGGCCGTAAAGTAAATACTCAAACTTCATGTCACTGGCAGCAGTTGTCCAGCCTGGTGTCTGTTCATCCTTCACTTCACTCATTCCATCATTAAATGTTAAGGCTTGAGGAGTCTGAGACCCCAAATCTTTCGATTCTGGGGTCTCCATGGATTCTACTTCCTGGCCATAGCAATTTACTTTTCGAACTTCCTCACTCCCCAGCTCTTTCAAGATTGCTTCCTGAACCCTGAGTGTAGTTGTAGGCGACTTGCCATCCTCCTGACTCGGCGGGGTGCCTTCTACGGTGTCATCAGATGGACTGTCATCTTGATCTCCAATTTCTTCCACATCATCATCCTGAGTATCAGCAGCATCTCCAATGGGGCGATTTATTTTGAGGCAATACTTAGTTTTGGACTGGCCATTATTTTCATCAGGACTAGACACATCACGCTTCTGAGAACAGAGTTTATCCAAAAATCGGATACCAAGAATCTGACCTGATGACATCATTAAGTTAACATCTTCTTTTTTCACAGAAATCTTTGCTGTGTACATGTAGTTCAGGACCTCTTCAAAGATATCAGAACGTAGAAAATCTATTTCTATGACTGAAGAGCTATCAACCTCAAGCTTCTTAAAAAGCTTTTTAAAGTAGGTGCTGCAGGCGGCAAGAACACATCTGTGTGCTCTGAATTTCACATCTTCAACGACAATAGCAATATCACAAAACTCTCCTTCCAGGCGTTGTTCGTTTAGTGTTTTCAGAAATAGAGTTTTATGATCATCGTCATTATATTTAATGGTTTCAGACATACTGATGAAAAACTCCTACAAAAAATTTTTAAAAAGAAAGTTTGATAATTATGAACAACACTTTTTCATACAGAAAACAGATTTTCATTTTATGATCAATTTTTTATACTGAACAATTTCAAAAAGTCATTCTGAGTGGTTTAAGAACATGAGTAGAAAAGACATCCCATCTTAGGGATTTCCATATTGTTACTTCTATTTATCTTCAGTTTACAAAGTATTTGCCTAGTTATAATTATAGCCAACTTTTACTAAGCACATGATACATACCAGGTGTTTTTCTATGTGCTTTGCATGTCTTCACAAATGTAATGATCAAATAAACCCATGCAATAGGTATCATTATCTCTACTTCATAGATGAGGTTGGGAACCTGCCCAATACTCTAGTTATTTAGTGAAGAGCTGGGACTCAATTTCAGGCAATCTAGCTCCAAAACCTGTGATTCCTGACAAGTAAAGGTAATAATGACAATTCAGTTTCAAGGTTTAAGAAACAGCTCTGAGGCAAAGATACACCAGTCCTGTCTGTTGCGCCTACTCTATTTTCACATAGAGGAAGGCTCAGTAAAATAAGTAACAGCGTTCAGTGTTCTACTTCCTAGACAGAACAGACAAATCAGTGTTGCAGAGCTAGAAAGGGATATCACTGCCAAAATATTCCATTTGATGTGGACTTCTAGTTTTTCCACACTGGTTTGGTTTGGGGCCAATGAATGAGGGCTAAGGTTTAATATGACCCTCAAAGAATCAGATGACATTTGGGAAGAGAGGCGATAAGCAGCTTCATTCCCTCTGGATGCCAATCTATCTGCTATCCAGACAAAAATGTCTTTAAAGGTTAGATGTACTTGACAAGGGCTGCAAGTATTTTACAAGCAAAAGGAATTTAGAACTGGCACAAAAGACATCTGTCACAACATTAAAGAAATTAATATTTTTAAAAGTATTATTTATTTATTTATCTTAGAGAGAAAGAAAGGGAGAGAAAGAGACACATCAATTTTTTGTTCCATTTGTTTATGCGTTCGTGGGTTGATTCTTATATGTGTCCTGATTCGGTATTGAACCTGCAACTTTAGCGTATCAGGATGATGCTCTGATCAACTTAGCTACCCAGCCAGGGCATGAAAATTGATCTTTTGAAAATAATGTATTCTGGTTTCTTTTCAAAAACATTGTTTTCCTTTCATTCAATACAATATGAGGAAAATAGACATTTTTCCCCAGAGAAATGTAAGTGCTAACACAATTGATATATGTGTATATCTACATACATTATTTTTAAAAGCAAATACTGAATCATAGTTTCAAGATTTAATATCCAAAGTTATAGTTACCATGAACAATTCAGGCTATTGTCTTAATGCTTGAAATGCCAAATTCTTCAGATCAGAATAACTGATCAGGGGCACGCCCGTCCTACAAGAGAAAAGGACACACAAGAGTAAGGTAGGATCTTCTTCTATCTAAAATTCTAAACAAGAATTTTTTAAAAATAAACTTTCCTTTCTTGTCCTGCCGCTTGCACATGTACCCATTTTCAGGATGGGGACAGAGGTCTAGCTCTGGGAAGACTTGAAGGAGAACAAGAAAGGGCTGCAGCACTTAGGGTGTGGAAAGACTGTGCACAGGGAATCAGAGGATACACTGGAGAGCCACTAAAGAATTTCTCCTCACAAACAAAGCCCATGTATAGATGTTGATAGCTACATAGATATCAGAAAAAGCCAGAAAGTGCTCCCTGCCCCCACCATTTCCTGCTAGGTATGTAGCCCTCCACATTTTTCTCTGGGCTAATACAGAGGGTATATCTATTTTTATAAATACAGAGAGTTATAAAAGATCACATACCCAACAGTTAATATTGGAGGATATAGTAGCTGCTTTCTTCTTCCTACACTTCTGTATGATGTAGCACATATCATTTAGCCTGCATGTGAGAACTGTAGGTGTTTTCACCTGTATCCCTACAGACAAGCTCAAAGATTTTAGATTTTTTTTTTTTTGAATTTTAACTCTTACCATAGGGACTCCATCCTGCAGACCAATATCCTGAAAAATACAAAAAGTTTCTTCTACTGAACAGTGACTACACAGATAAGGGACTGGGCTGCAACAGCCTTACGTAAAAACTGCAGTGGAAAACTCAAATCAGGAGACCAAAATCCTTAACACTATCAAAAAGTTCGCTCTACAGAAAAGGAAACACAGCAATCAGCTGCCTTAAAGCAGCAAGGAATTTTCTTATCTGCAAAGTGTGAGAACTGAGAAAAATTAGTTCTACAGATGCTTCGGAGTTTGTTTCTTAAATAGGGCACGGTCTGTAGTCACCCCAAAGAAAGCAACCAGGCCAAACTTCTACCGGGTCACTTCCTACTGTATTTCAAGGCTGTGGGATAAAAGTGTATGGACTAGAGAGAGGGGGGAATGACCGTATCCATCAGTGTGTTGATTTTTTTTTTCTCCTTTTTTGGCCAGGGTGTTGTTTGGCCTCCACTCTCAAGGTCTCTGAGGACCAGTTTTTTTTTTCTACTGAGATGTTCCAATTGCTAAGTTCAGGTGCGTCAAACTGGAGGATACCCATTGCCAGTATATGTGTAGCTGGTGAGAACACTGTAGCTTCAATTACACCTCCATATCAAAGCTGCCCCTTTATTATTGCTCTCCAAACCGTTGAGGAACCGAGTCGCCTTAACGGGGAGAGGGGGCTCCAGCACAGCCAAACTTGCCTGGACAGCCAGCCGCCTCCCCTACCCCAGAACAGCCGTGACAATGGCGGCGGCACGACTTCCCAGTCCAAAGCTCGCAACTTCGGGGTAGGGATAAGGAAAGATAACGAAGCGCAAGAGCCATCTAGCCTTCAGAGGTTCTCCAAGCCACCCTCTCGTTTCTTTCTGCCCGGAAAGTGGGGAAGTGGATAAGGCCGTTTGCATTTCTTCCCAAACAAAAGCTCGGCCTCGGAGCCGGAAGGTGAAAGAGTGACTTTCCCTTTCATAATCAGGCTTCCCGCGCAAGATTCTGGCCTCCGCTCTGAGCGCAAAAGGAAGAGCCCACGGCGGTCCCGGCAGCGGCAACGAGCGGGAGCGGGCGTGTGGCCCGTCTCCGCAGCCCCGCGCCGCGCCGCGCCCCGTACCGCCCGCGAGCCCGGAGCTCGCGCCCCGCGCACTCCCTGGCCGGCTCGCGCCGGGCCCTCCCCCGCCCTCCCGCGGCCGGGGGCGGGGGCGGCGCGCGGCCGGCTTCCCGAGCTCGGCGGGCGCACCCGGGAGTGCGAGCGTGGGGGTCCCGGCCCCCTCCTCCACAGGCAGCTGAGGGCGGTGCGGTGCGGTGGGGCCCCGGGCTCTGAGGGGCGGCGCCCGGAGGGCCACACTCAGCGCTGGGCTCCGGGCCGTCCCAACCCTCACGGCGGAGCGTTGCGGAGATGCGAGCGAGAACGGCCATGAACTCTGCCACCAAGGCTCAACGAGCGCGCGCCCGGGGCCGTAGCGGCCGCCGCCCGGCTACTGTTCCAGCCCGCTCACCGGCCTGCGCAGCACCCAGAACGCCCGTTCCCCACGCCCGGCCCAGCCCTGGCCCACGCCCGTTCCCGCTCGCACCGCGCCGCCGCCGGCCGCCTGCACATCCTGGAGCTGGCTGGTGCCCCTGAGCGTGGCGAGAACGCGCTTCTTCCGGGCCGCCCCGCCGCGCCAGCCGCAGGCTGCCCCCGTGCCCGCCTCGCTGATGGCCCGGGCCCCTTCCGCACCCCCGGCCCGCGCTTACCTGCAGCGTGGCACAGCCACAGACACTCGACGTGGGCTCCCCGCGCTCGCTGCACGCAGGCCGGGGACGGGATGGACGCGGGGCACGGGGGCACGGTGGGTGGCAGTGTTTTTGGATTTTTTTTTTTTTTAGTTTGGGGAGGGGGCGGGGTGGGGGGGGAAATCGTGCACGTCCCTGATGGTAGCAGCCCTCCTGCACGAGCACAGAATGTCTACCCGGCCTTGAAAACCCCCACCGGCAACCCCCCCTCCCCGTGCATGCGCGGTGCGGGCTGGGAGGAAGGCGCGCCGCCGGCTTGCGCAGGCACGGAACCCGACCGGGCCTCTAAATGGGCGAGCACAGAAAGGGTTAATCCGGGCCCTTCTGTTGCTTTCGTTAGTCTACGGGGCCGCCCCCATGAGAGCCCTGGCCTGCGCACGCGCGCGCACGCGCTCAACTAGGGGCGCGCGGAGCCCGCGCGCGGGAGAAGGGGGGGCGGGGCGGGGCTTTGGGAGCGAAGGACCGAATGCACGAGCGCTGCTCTCGGGCACCCGCCCCGCCTAGAGCTCCCGCCTCCTGCTCCGACTCCTGAGCTCCCGCCCGCGCCTGGCGCCTGCACTGGGGACGCGGGATCCCGGCGTTCCTGTGCGTGTGCACGTGCTTAGCGCTGTACGGCCCTCGGGCGCGCGCTAGTAGGGTGCTGCGGCTGTGGGCTTTGCCTTCGGCTATGGGGCGAACGCCCTAGGCACCCTAGCCTTCTGTGTACACCGAGTGACGATGAGACTAACGAACATTGGGTCTTGGGTGGTGTCCGTGTCGCATAATGTATACCGGGGAAATGGTAGGCACTCAATAAACGTTTGCCAAACAAATGAAAAAAGAGACATCTTTCATTTCGAGAAAAAGGATCGATCCCAGTCACCCAGGAGGAAAGGAACACCCCTGAAGATCTGGATCCCGCCAAGCCCGCACCCGCCCTCCAGCAATTACCCAGATATTCAAGGAAAAGCCGCGGGAACCTGGAGGCCATAACCCATCTCTAGCAGTCATGAACCTGGACTGGTTTTCATTTGCAGCTCCCTCGAGGGCTCCATTGATGTAGCACAGTTCTTACATCCCAGTTCAACAAAAGCAATGGCTCCATTGCTGTTGAAACCATGTCTCGTTCCCTGTAACGATGTGGTTGGGCCTGTGCCCGCAGTTGAGACCTGAGAAATCCCTCCAGCTCCTGCGTTTTTTGCTCACCAAAATACAGTGAGTTGGACAGCACTACCTCATCGCTTCAGAGTCGCTTTTGATACTGCATCTCTTAGCGTCTCAGAAGAACACACGTAATTTAACATCTAAAAATTAAAACAGGACCTTCCTCTTGGGATTGCGTGAAAATTACATGAGATAATAATGCTTACAACCAGAACAATGTAAACATTCTAAAATGATTAGCTGTATTAAATTCTAGAGAAATTTTATCTGGCCTCAGCAGATTTTGGATTATTAATTGACATTAAGTTTCAATGTTTCACAAGGTACTTTTGAACACATCGTTTTTGATGTTCACAAAAGCATGGAGATTATAGGTGTACTGAACAAAGCAGGAAAGAATAGAGCAGTCCTAGAGTCAGGCATACTCACTTCAAATATTGGGTGCATTGTTTAATTTCTCTAAACCTTAGCTTCTTATCCTCTGAAATGAAGATAAGAAAAGCACCCAAAGGGCAGCCATGAGAATTAAATGAAATAATGCCCATTTAAGTGCTTTGTTCAAACATTAGCTAGGTGGTGTTAAATGACCTGCCCAATCTGCATAGATGGTGGATTTAAGTGGTATAGGACTAGAATGGATAAGATTTATACTCATAGTTGATATCTTTGTGGTCGTGTTCCTTCTGACACCACGGCTGAACCTGTTTATTTCAATCCTGCCTATGTTTTGCATTCATATAGTGGGGATAATAATAGTACTATATCATAGGGTTATGTTATGAAGGAATAAAACTGTCACTGCATTTAGCAGTGCATGGACATGACTAGCACTTAGTCATGGTTCATTGTCTGCTACTGCTCCCCCTTCTCCCATACCATATAATTGCATAGGTTTATGTACTTTCTGAAGATATTTTTTATCTGCCTATTATGTAAAGACAGCCTTATTGCATACACCTAGTAAGGTCTTTCCACGATTTGACTAATCTGATGAAATTAAAAGAGTTCAGATTCTCAAGCACTAGAATGCATATCTCAAGTGACAGATTCCTGACATCTTGGTTTTGCATCTATTAACCCTCTTCTCATATGTTTTATGCTTATGTCACCTAAGCTTTTCCTGGCTGTCTCTTGCTTCATCAGGATCATAGGAATACGTCTAAATTAAAGGTGCAACTCCAAGGGAAGGAGGAGGAAGGGATGGAAACCACAAAGAAAGGGCTTGATTGTTACCAGATAGGCACCCGCTTGAAGCAGGTCTGCCTCAGGCCAGCCTTTAGTATGTGGGTTCCTGACTTTGTGTATGAAAGGTTTCACAACATGAGTCCAAGTGATTTTGAGAATACGTTTATTAAGGCTGGGGACAGTGAAACAAAAGAAAAATTTAGGGTGGAAGAAGTAATAAGAGAGAGCTGAGACAGGGCTATTTTGGCTCCCTAGAAAAGTTACAGGAAAGAAATGAACCAAGGAGGGGCTGCTGTTAGCTCACCTGTAGTCAGAGAAAAAGGGGCCCTGGAGACAGGATCAGGGAGTAAGGCCAGGTGGAGCTGCCACTGCCACTGTTCCCCTGGCTGCAAGTCTCCTTGAGGCCCTTAGAGTTCAGGAGGAAATAAAATGTTCATGCCCGAGAAGGGGCAGGGGCATGCTCTGGAATGAGCCCAGGCTGCATCTTTGCTCTGAGGGCTTTTCATCTTTTTTCTGCGCATGCGAATCTTAGGGGAGAGTTTCAGCAGAATATTCACTAGCTTTCCAGGTGCATTTTTAGTATGCTGATATGACACCTAGGAAATGAGCGCATAAGGGGTTTGGGGAATATTCTTTAGTCTGTATACTGTTTTACTTTTATCTTGAGTCTGGCTTTTAATGGGGTTTTTGTTATTTAGTCCTCTGACTTCATCTGTCCTTGGGTTTAGCTGGTATAAATAGCATTAATTGGGTCTCTGTTGTATTTCCCAGATCAGGGAGATTTTAGTTATGCGTTTTTTGGTTAGGGAGGAGAGGTGTAAACCATTCACTCTCAAGTTTCCTTAGTTAGAAGAGATAAGTTTTTGTGATTCACCAGCTGCCTGTAAATTGCTCAAAATGTTTGGCCTTGTTGAATTTTCTCATCTCAGTTTCCCCATTCCACTTGCTCAGGAATTTTCCTAGTGTCTTACTATCCTGCTTCATGGTCACCTGCCATAACCCAGCACTGTGCAACACCCTTTAGGCCATAAATAAACATTGGCTGGCAGATAAGTGATAACCTAGAAATTGATACTACAGGGAGTTATAAGGGCACATTTAAAAATCTATATAATCGGAATAAAAATAGTACATACCTGAAAGTGTTAATTAACTCAATACATAGTTATGAGTATTCATTTTGTGCCAGGCATATGAGCACTGTGGATATAGCAGTGAACAAAACATACAAATATACCCACCTGGGAGGCAGACAAGAAGCAAATAAGTAATTTAAATATATATTTTGTTAACAAGCAATCAGTGCTATGAAGAAAAATTCAACAGGGGAAGGACATAGCAAGGCTGGAAATATGGGTGAACAATATGAAATAAAGCCATCAGGAAAGGCACACTGAGAAAATAGCATTTAGGTGAAGACCTGAAGGAGCTGAGGGGGTCAACCAGGTGAGAATTATGATCAGGAGCCCTCGAGGAAGAAAAGAACAGCAAGCACAAGGGTCTGTAGTGGGAGCATCCTTTTGTGTTGAAGAAACAGCAAAGAGAGAAGTAGGGAGGCATTCCGAGCAGACACAGCCCCACTGCCCCTCTGCATCAATCTAGATGGGGCAGATTAAAGCTTAATGGTTTTTGGTTTTGGTTATCTATTGAGATACTATGTTTATGTTTGTTGAATATGAAATGCCCACTATACTCTAAGAGTGATTTTATTTATTTCTAGACAAATTCTAGCATGGTTTAAGAAACTTATGGAACTGAAATCTTCAAAGGGGGAATAACAATGGTGGTGAGTTGGTGGGGGGTGGAACATGAATTGTGTGATTGAATGACCTGCGAGTCAAAACTGTGGGCTCTTATAGAGAAAGGAAAGGAAAGGTTTCAAAAGGTAAGGGGGACACTTGCTCTATTCCGGGAAGGAGTACCAGCAGTCATGCTGGGCAGGGTTACAGGGAGCAGTGTTCTCCCTTGAGGACCAGGATTCCAGTAGATCCCTGGAGCAGTCCTTGTCAGCCTTGGCTGTGCATAGTAATCACCTGGGAGGCTTTGCAGATGCTGGCCCTGGAGTTCCACCCTCAGAGGTTCTGAGTAATTGCTTAGACATGTGGCCCAAGTTATCAGCAGCTACAACAGTTCCCCAGGTGATTGTAAGGTACAGCCATTGTTGAAAACCATTGTCTTATAGCAAGAAGGTGAGGGGACCTTTCAGGGATGGTTGAGGTGTTGAGAGATATACATAAAATCCATTTAAGATACTAACACAATTTCTGATACATAGTAAGCTGTTGACTTTCTTATTCAGACTCAAATGCTTAAATGCTGGCCTAAGAAGGTGACATTCATTCTGAAAGATGGGATCAACATTAAATGAATAAGAACATCTCAGCAGAATTCCTTTTTTTCCCCCCAAGATTCTTTTTCTTAAAGATTTTATTTATTTATTTTTTAGAGAGAAGGGAAGGGAGGGAGTAAGAGGAGAGAAACATCAACGTGTGGTTGCCTCTCACGTGGCCCCCACTGGGGACCTGGCCAGGCGTGTGCCCTGACTGGGAATTGAACCAGTGACCTTTTGGCTCACAGCCCACACACAGTCCACTGAGCTACACCAGTCA